GTGAAAAGGTGTCCTGGTCCGGTTGTAGTAATATTGTTCGCCCAACACCAGACCAAGAGCTGAGAGCCCGGCTCATCAGTTGGAACTATGTTCCTACCTAAATAGTTGTCTTGTGGAGTAACGCCCAAGCGGAACGCAAGATAATGAAATATGGATCTTGGCCCACTAGAGGTTTCGCCGGAAATCTCCGAATCAATATTGAGGGTTATTGATTTGTTAAAAATAGTGGGAGATAATTAATTAAAGGCCTAATTAATTATTAAACATGATAGATAACCTAGTTTGCAAAATTTTCTGTAGATGGCAAACAACAACAACCCTTTTAACCTGCGTTACATCCTGGAAAACAACAAGTTATCCGGGACCAACTTTCTTGACTGGGAGATGAACCTCCAGATCGTTCTTGACTGTGAGAGGAAACTCTACATCCTCGAAACGGATCCTCCCAAGACCCCTGATGCTGATGCTCGTGCGTTCGAACTCACTTCCTTCAAGAAGTATGAGGATGACGCGCGAGATGTAAAGTGTATCATTATGGCCAGTATGACCGTGGAGCTCCAAAGGCTCCACGCAGACATGGAAGTGCGTCCTATGATACAATGCTTAAGAGACCTTTACCAGGGTCAACCCCAAAACTTAGGTATTTACATTATCGAAGTCAATATGTCTGATATCACCTCTTGGGTGATGGATACTGGATGTGGTTCTCACATCTGTACTTCTATGCAGAACTTGCATGAATGTAGACAATTGACGGAGGGAGAGATACAACTAAAAGTCGGCAATGGCGCACTCGTCTATGCATTGGACGTCGGAACCTATAGTTTATCTCTACCTAGTGGTCTAATATTGCATTTGAATAATTGTCTGTTTGTACCTAGTATGAGCAGAAACATCATTTCTGTATCCTGCCTTGACAAAGCAGGATTTTCATTCGTTGTAAAAGACAAAACTCTTTCTGTCTTTAGAAATGATATATTTTATGCAAGTGCAAAAATGACCAACAGTCTCTATGTCCTTGACATGGATACCACGATATATAACGTAGATGTTAAGAGAAACAAACCTAACAGTTTGAATCTCGCGTACCTTTGGCATTGTCGTTTGGGCCACATTAACGAGAAACGCATATCTAAGTTACATCGTTCCGGTGTACTTGATTCATTTGACTTCCAGTCATATGATGTTTGTAAATCTTGTTTACTTGGTAAAATGACAAAGGCTCCATTCACTGGTCACGGTGAAAGGGCGAGTGACTTATTGGGCCTCATACACTCCGATGTGTGTGGTCCAATTAGCACTGTAGCTAGAGGTGGTTATTCTTACTTCGTTACATTTACTGACGACCTTAGTAGATATGGATATGTGTATCTCATGAAACACAAAT